AAAAAAAAAAAAAAAAAAAAAGAAACAGTCTAGGGCCAGGTACAGTGGCCCATGCCTGTAATCCCAGCACTTTGGGAGGCTGAGATTATGAAGTCAACAGTTCAAGACCAGCCTGGCCAATGTGGTGAAACCCTGTCACACTAAAAATACAAAAATTAGTCAGGCGTGGTAGTGTGTGCGTGTAGTCCCAGCTACTCAGGAGGCTGAGTCAGAAGAATCACTTGAACCTGGGAGGCAGAGGCTGCAGTGAGCCGAGATCACGCTACTGCACTCCAGCCTGGGCAACAGAGCAGGCTCCATCTCAAAAAAAAGAAGAGAAAAGAAACAGTCTATAAGACAATTAGTCTGGACACTCATAAAAGTGACTGTCATGAAAAGTTAAAAAAAAAAAAATGCAGTGGTAGGGGAGGTGGCTGTTGCAGACTCAAAGAGGCAAAGTAAAGTGTGGACTTTGGACCCTATGTGGGCAGCAGAGAGAGGGGACAATTATAAAAGATACTTTTGGGACAACTCAGAAAATTAAATTTGAGTTGGATATTAGATATTATGGGATTACTGATAATTTTCTTAGGCGTGATAATGGTACTGAAGTTGTATTAGAGAATGTCCTTATTCTTAGGAGACATATAATGAAGTATTTAGAGGAAAGCATTATGCTGCTTATAATTTACTTTCAAATGATTTAGAGGGGAGTAGAGAGAGTACTGTAAATATTTGGAGAGAAACATAAAGCAAGTGAGGCAAAACAGTAACAATTAGTGAACCTAAGTGAGGGCACATGAGTTTTACTTTTCTTTCAACTTTTTTGTAGGTTTGAAAATTTTCAAATTAAAAAGTTGGGAAATAAAGAAGAAAGTTTAAAAATAAAACCAAACAAAAAAAGGGAAAACAGATTGCTGGGCTCTATGCTACTGTCTCCTGCTAGCCTTCTGACTTCGGGGAAAGTTCTACTGTGTCTGGGCCTGGGGTCTATCTGTGGAATGAGGACAGTGGAGTAAATGGCCTCCGAGGTGACCCCAGTTCTAAAGTCTGTGGACATGATGAAGAGTTTGCAGGACAGGACCATACACCTCACCAGGTCCACCTTATCCCTCCAGACACTCACCTAGGTACCAATTTTTCTGAAAGAGGCTCAAAGAGCTTGTCTTGTGATGTTTTAAAGTGTCTTCCTTTGGTTGGAAAGATTTTATGACACTGGTTTCTTAAGACGTTCTATGGTCTAAGCTCTAATGGAACTGTAGTGAATGTGATGGGACTGAAGCTATTAAATGTTCTTCCCGTTAAGAATTTAATGGCATAGAAAATGACTTCAAGCCCTGAAAAATTTACTTTATCTTGGTGTCTTGCTACAATTTCACCTGGATTTTTCAGTCAGATGTCACTATGGTTGTCTTCTCAATATATCTGTGGTTGTGCTGATAAAGACTGAGGAAATTCTTTACACTATTGTGGCAACTGAACAGAGTACTTGAAAATGCTGTTTTGGGGATGATGCCCACAGAGGCGTGTGTGAAGTACGCTCTGTTCACACATTGCTCCCCAAACCTTCTATCAGAATGAGTAGTTTCCATCATCTCCCTCACTGGGCTACCCAGCAAGTGATCTACTCTTAGGAAGTGCTCAGGCAACGTTGGAAGTTTTGTGGAATTTACCTGACATCCAGCAGGTCATATGGCAACAGTTTGGTTTGTAACTGTCAATAAAAAAAAAATGAAACAACATCTTGTACAATGCTCATTTCCTTGATATTGTTCCTTTTTTGTGTGTGACAAGTTATTTCATTAATAGTTCTTCCATATTACAGGCTTTTATAAGTGAGAACTGAACAAATGGAGATCTCTCTATATGGTCGTCTGCGTGAAAAGCAATGAAATACTCAGTCTGTTGTGCAACAATCATATCACCTCCCTGGAAGCATTGAAATGGCTCCCTGAATACTAGTAGCTTTGCCATTTTCTTTCTTCTGTCTCATCCTTTGCCCAGTCCTGTGGAGGTAGCTGTGTCAACCAACTTGCTGGTTAATTCCTAATACATTTTCTTTCTAAAAACTTGAAAGAAGTAGTTTCACATGTCAGAGCAATTCTGCTCTCAAAAATGTAGAAATCCAATTTCTAACAGGAGATTTTATTCAAGATAACTATGAATCTGCCAATTTTAATAGTAGTATATTTGCTATGGTCTATATTGGGTTAAAATCTCCCCATAGCTCAAAGAGAGCTAAGGAACACTGAAATTCAAGATCCATAAAACAGGAGAATGGGTTGATCCAGGTATTAGCAACACTCAAAGGTTTTAAAACATTAGGTGGGATGTGGGTATTTATGCTGATACAATAGATATCTAACTATTCTTTAGTCATCAATGGTCCAAGTGATTTAAGAACTATATCTCATACTAGAAAGGACCTAAAATATTTTAAAATAAATATTTTCTATAAACCCATAAAGCATAAAAAACAAAAATCAAGGAAAACATATCTGAAGGGAGCAAGGGTGAAGAAAAGGAAAAAGCTGAAGACTGGTCTGCAAGCCATGAGACATAACAAAATTGTCATAGGTGATCTTTGATTTTGGATCTGAGCTTCCCAGCAACTAAAACCAAGATGGAATCTTAAGTAGTTCCACGGCTTTCACTAATCACAAATGGAAACGCATTTCAGTTCTTCAAGGGAAACAAAGCTACTCCCCACAGTGAAAGTCCATGTCTTATTTGTATTCGTATCCTGTACTTGTACAGAGTCTGGCAGCCCACAGCATTCATTAGCTGAAGCTGTCCTTCTTCTTCCACTTAATTCTAAAAGGAATTTCTCATGTAGAGCTTTACACAAGGGGCCCTGGGAAATTCAGGGGGGCAGTATTCTTAATATTAGGCCTAAAGTAAATGAAGTGATGAGTTTCATCAATCTATTTCTTGTTGTATACCTCATAACACAGAGACACAATTCAGGGAAGCAATCTTGGGGTGCATGTGGGATGTCAAACCTAACAGCAATCTAAGATCGCCAATTTCTGAAGGACATGTTTGATCCATAATAAAATCTAGTCTATCTACGGACTGCATGTCATTCACACATGTCAGCACATGTACCATTTCTCACGATTGAACTTCTGATAACAATTACATGGCATATGAATGAATTCAAGGTTGTTTGCTCTGGTAAAGGCCAGAAGTGCAGGTGTTCTCTGTGGCTGATTAAGAGAGGATTAATAGGCTCATATCAAGCAGTGACACAGCAGCACTGGAAATCCCTTCTCCAGCTCAGACTTCTGAAATGGAGGGTGTACAGCAAACTAAGAACAGCAAATTGGAAATACAGCTAATGCTCGACTTACGACCACGGTCGGGACCGCGGACCCGTCGTAATATGATTTGGTCGTAAGTTGAGTAGGCTATATGTACAGTTGAAATGGTGCATGCAGAGATGGTAGTGCTGCCGGAAGCTGGTCCGCACTGTCGTACGCCCAGCTGGGCAATGTTTGCGCTGCCAGACGCGGAGCAGTCGTGGCTAGCGATTGTGGTCATAAAGTCGAATGGCCGTAAGTTGCATAGGTGGTAAGTCGATCAATACCTGTAGTTGAAATGGAAGGCTGCTTTTCTTCTGGGATAATCATTATCATTGTCAGCTGGGGAGACACCAATGACTGTATAACCCTTGCCCACATGGAAAGGGAACATGATACTGAGGCTTTTAGGGTGGACTCAAACTTTGGAAGGCTGCTTGGCTAGTAATGGGGCAAGAGTGGGTGGGTATGGGGAACTGGGATAAGGACAGGAGGCCCTGAGGAGTCTGGGAACACACATTTGCTTCTAAGTAGCAAACTTTTTTCTAGCACCATCGCTGCAGCATTTCTTCTGTAGTAATCAGTCTTTTCAATTATGGCATTATTTTACAATTACTAGTGCCAGATAAAACAAAGGGTTCACTTTCTCTGAACTGATGAATGTGCTGGTGAGAGGATGAATATTTTCATTCACTCTGGATGGAGTCTGAATCCACCTGTCCACCATTGTGGTCAATGACACCTTTCATTATTTTTAATTCATGTCATTACCTTGAACTTCTCCTCATAGTTCTCAAAGGCTTCCATGACCATACATACAGCCTCCATTGAGCGCTCGAGCCGGCCATCCACCCCGTTGAAGCGGTACATGCTACCAGACACATCCACCACCAGGCGCAGACGCTTGGGTTTCTGTTGTGGGCTGCCAAGCTGAGGGAAGGAATAACAGAAAAGCCATTTGTGAACTGACAAACTTCCCCTGGTGGCTGTCTTGGGGATCTCACAGAAGCCCCAGTGTGCCAGCCCTGAGATGGGCAGACCAGCCATAGGCTCGGCCCTGCATAAGTCTGTCCTGGCAGGTAGCAAGGCACCTATGAGTTGTATTGCAGTAAACAGAATTTCAGACTTGTGCTGATGGTTGGGGCCGCATGGAAAAGATTTTCCTTTGGAATCTAGTCCTTTCGAAGCTCACTGTAGTAAAGCTGACTTACTGAAGTTGATGCCTTAAAAATAATGTGATGACTTAAAAATAATAATGGCATGTCATTTTCACTTCATGCTTTAGAGTCAGTAACCCTAGCAAGAGTTTGTATTACTTTGGAGGGAAGCCCACATCAATTTTACCTGGACCTGTTGGGTAGTGACCAAAAATTATTCTCCACATAGGCCACAAGTAATGTCAGATTCCTAAAACATAGTTATGTGATGGGGTCTGGCAAAGAACTTAAGGAAAGGATTTAAAAAATGTCTTTTGTGTTGAGTAAGCTGCACATTTTCTCTTCCTTCCATATTACTAAATTAATGCTTTTCTTTTCTTGGCAGTTTGAAAGCATAAAAGTGGCATCAAATTGCTATCTAGAAACAATTGTTAATTAAAATCACAAAATTAAGTTTGATTTTAGACCCATGACTACCAATTTGCAGATTTTTAAAAAAACTTTGTTAGTTTTGCTGACAAGAAAAAGGAAGAAGACTGCATGCAGCAGCTCATGCCTGTAATCCCAGTGCTTTGGGAGGCCAAGGTGGGAGAATTGCTTGAGGCCAGGAGTTCAGTACCAGCCTGGGCAGCACGGCAAGAACCCATCTCTACAAAGAATACACAAGTCAGCTGGGATGGTGCTGTGTGCCTATAGTACCAGCTATTGGGGAGGCTAAGCTGAGAGGATCACTTGAGCCAGTAGTTTGAGGCTGTAGTGGGCTATGATTGTAGCACTGCACTAAAGCCTGGGCAACAGAGCAAGACCCTGTCTCTAGAAAGAAAAAAGGAAGAAGAAAAATTCCAGATTATTCTGTTATTAAATATTTGCTGACATGTATAAAAAATAATGATCAAAGTTAGTAATTTCAAGAAAACACAGTGGGTATTGAGAGTGTACTGGTTTGAGGCAAATTCAACATATTTCTTAAAAACTGTTGAGTCTGACCAAATTAAGAACACTTATACATATGCTCCATGACTACTCACAATTTCAGATGTATCCAAACACATTTGTTGACCACAATGATTCAGTAAAGAAAGCAGTTGTTGACTCATACCAATGACTCAGAAATAAGAACTCCCCAAATCACCACCAGATCCTCTCTAAATAAACGTTGAAAAAGAATGACTCTCCCTTCCCCCTACCAGTCCCTGCACCCCCAGCTTTTGGTGGCTACTCAGCAATTCTGGTTATTTGGGAATTCAGGAGATCACAGAGCTCACCAAGAGACTCATTATTTCATCCTGTCCCCATTTTGTTTTGCTATTACATTGCAAATATTTTAAATTTATGGCTGTCTAATATTACTATAATTATAATTATAGCTATTTAAGGGAGACTTCCTTGTTTTCTGTATTTTTTTCAGTTATATGATGGACACAGATCTTTAAAGCAACAGAACAGTAGAGAATCACCAAGATTCTTTTGTTGCTTTCACTTGAAGATTTCTCTAGGCTTCACAGACACACCAGGTGTCTTCACTTTCCCAAGGGCACCTGTTCTCGGTCCTGAGAGTTGATCTCTATGGGCTGTATTGGAGCTCAGAAATCAATACCCAGTAAATAGGGTGCTTGGGCATGCTGAACTGAAGAAGCAGCATTAAGGTCTCTCTGACCTTCCTTCCTCTCACCACAAAACACCAGATAAGTTGTTTTCTGAAGTTTCTTTAACTGCCTAAAGTTCAGAGCGCCAAAGAAGAAAAGGATTACTCTGGGCCCTTTCTTGAGTTTTCATCAACTGAACTCATATCACAGGAAGAAAGGCTGTCAACACACCTGGATAGACTTCTGTCACAAACCATTGCTCTATGGGCCCAACAGACCCTGCCCCAGGCCACTGTGTGTTCTTCAAGCCCACTGAATTGCCCTACAACCATTTACCACCTAAAACCACCTCCACTTCTCCATATCCTTTTCCCTTCAGAAGGGTACATAAGCATCTGGACCTCACTGTGTGGAGGGTGACTCACCCTTGGTTTCACCCCAGTGCACATTAATACATTTGTATGCCTCTTTTCCTATTAATGTGCCTTTTGTGTGGTGATTTTCAGAGAACCTTCAGAGGGCGAAGGGGAAGATTTCCCTTGCCCCCTATGACCACATCAGCCGCCCTCTTGGATGCTGGTTTCCAGGGGGTTTTGCCCATAAGAGGCATTGACAGAGGTCAGGGTTGAGTGTCGGGTATTTGTTCCCTTGGCCCACTCTCTGCCATTGCCCATGGCCTGGCTCCCCTTCTACTGAAGGCCACTGCTCCATCAATTGCCTTCTCTAGGTTCCAGGAATTGCTCTCTCATTCTGCCTGGGTGAGTTAGATTCCTGCTGTTGCTATCCCTGGGTTACTGCACTTTTTGCTTTTTGATTTTCCTAAGCCCCACTCTTATTTTGTAAATAGTGGTTTGTATTGACTATTTTTTAAGTTACCTAATTTGAACATGCCTTATGTTTCTTGCTGGAATCTTGAGTTGAATAATAGTATAGTACTTACGGGGTCTTTCTTCTTCTTTTTTTTTTCTTTAACACAATGCTTTCCTTGGTTGTCATATTCAGGATACGTGATATTTTGACACAACTCAAGAATCAAATTTCTGTAAAGAAGGCCAGACTATGCAGAGCTAAGGCTAGCAGTTTACCATGACTTACTTGTGGCTCCAGCTCACCCCGACGTTTGTAGATGGCTTTTTCTCCAGTCAGCCCATCGATGATCTTGGCATCATCTAGTTCCCCAGTAGCTTGATGTCTTAGCCACTGTCTTTCTTTACCTTTAGCCTACAAAAGACACACATAAACATACAAAGCCTTATTTTAATTACTTCTGCAGGGTCCCTAACACACTTTGTGCATGAATAACAGGAAACACACCTGGGATCTTTTCAGTAAGTGATGATTCTGCATGAACACAGTCGCATAAACGAACTGGTTTCTGCTCTGCTGACAAAGAAATGCCCTTTGTGTGAAATTTGTCTGTTTTAATTGTTTTAACATATGGAACAATAAAATGAATGAAAGATGGTATGCAAATGAGTCCCTGGAGAGATGTTCAATATCTGGAAATATCATGGGGATGCATTTCTTATGGGTTTTCAGTCACAGTGCTTCTCAAAAATTTATTAGTTAGCAAAATAATTGGCTTGAACTTGTTAACATTGTCTGCAAGCCCAGAGAAAATGTGACCTTTAGAATTCTACCTTTTGGAAGAGTTTGTTACTCAAGTTCTCTGTGACTTAGTGTGCAAATGGAAACAGCAGAAAACCATATTATGTGAACATTTTGTACCCCACATGTCTTCCTGATTATCTATTTTCAGAAATCTTTTGGATTACTTTTCTAAAAGTTTTTCCACATAATATTTTGCTACAATAACTTATAATTATGCCAGAAAGGCTAATTTTATGGTAGATAAAATGATAAAGAATTATAGTATCCTAATCAAGGCATATGTTTATTACAGCCAATGACTATATTTACATTAATGAGTAGGAAGACTAGCTAAGATGTTTTTGTGCATGCAAAATAGAGTAGTAGTTAAGATTATGTGTTCCAGAGTCAGCCTGGTTCTAATTGCTCTTTCACCACTGTCCAATATCTGTTCTGAGGCAAACTACTTAACCCGTCTGCATCTCTGTTTCTTCATCTCTAAAATGAAGATAACACTAGTCTCTACTTTAGTAAATTATTGCAAAGATTAATAAAATCTTACTTGGAATCAGCTAAGAAAGAGCCTGGTGAGCTATGTGAGCTGATGCTATTATTTATTACAGTGAATGAAATGCATATGGATAACTAAGTCCACTTTAAGTTAAGCATGTTTCCATCAGTGTTTCATGGGAGGTGACTATGTGATAGCACTGTCATTGGAAATACAAAGCCACTAAACCTCAGGCAGCTGGTGTCTGTCTTAGGGCCAGGTCCACCATTACACAAAGAAACTCCACATGATATAACTCTGGGTATTACAGAATGCATTGTTTTCTTGTTCCTGATAACCTTGCTGGAAACAGGAACAAAATTACCATTTTTTAATATTGATATATTAATGTAAACATCACCAGAATATAGATTATTAATTTTCGTGGGCAGTTAATTCTAAGACTGGCAGTTATGCAACCGTTGGGAGAATGTTCTTTCCAGATTATGTTTTTGGCAAGAATCCCATGATCTCTCAGGAAAATGGGGCACACTGGAGCATAGCTATCATATAAAACTTGATTAGATACACAGCTACGGGTAGCAAGAGGAAGAAATGTGCACAGTCTTCTAGAATCCTTTCCTATTGGTCTAGTATGAATCAGACGGACAACCCTGACCACACAGCACAGTCCTTTTCAGGCTCCCTCCCTGCCCCAGTGATTGGGACTTAGCTCTTATCTCTGCTTTCCTAGCATTTCTGGTCTCTGGTGTGGATAATCCTTAGGCTTCCGGATAATTTATCCTGGGAAATGCTATTGTGGGTGACCGTTTATGTACCTTTAATCCTCACATTCTACAGCTCTTGGAGGTACCAAGCTGCAGAGCACTGGATTCTAGTGGCTTTCAAAGATGAGGACAGACTCTTACAGAATAGTCTAGACTGGGAAAACCAGCACTGAAAGAAGTAAAAGAGAACATGGTAGCAGTGGTTAGCAGCCATTAAAGTGGGATGGAACTTGGATTCTTGAGCCAGATTTGAGAGAAATGCAGGATTAGAACTGGAATGAAGTTATATGACGTATTACTTATCGGCCATGCCACTGTCATCATTAAGCATTGATTTTCCAAGTTTTCATAAATACATTGACAAGGCAATGACCCTGAAGACTCCTTACCCAATCCCATTAGCTGCTACATGGCTTTATTAACCAGTGATGTCTTTACCATGTAAAGGGCCACTGCAATGGCTACAGATTGTCATTTTTATAATTTTTGGTTGTTTTTTTTGAGACAAGGTCTGACTCTGACACCCAGGCTGGAGTGCAGTGGTACAATCATAGCTCACTTCATCCTTTAACTCCTGGGCTCTAGTGATTTTACCACCTCAGCCTCCTGAGTAGCTGGGACTACAGGCATGTACCACCACACCTGGATTTTTATTTTTAAATTTTTGTCAAGTTGAGGTCTTGCTGTATCGCCCAGGTTGGTCTCAAACTCCTGGCCCCAGGCAACCCTCCCACCTCAGCCTCCCAAAGTGCTGGGATTATGAATGTGAGCTAATTTGTGTGATTTCTAATGCAGGTCACAAATGCAGCAAAAATAAATTTAAACCCCACCAACTTACCATAGAGAAAATAGAAAATGCTCCAATTCTAACTAATAATTCCACTGTCCTCTTTATTTTGGTGTTTCTAAAACCAGAATATATCTTATAGTTGATGGCAAAAAAACAAAACAAAACAAAAACTTGCCAAGATGACAGGTAGAGGGACTAATTGTGACCTGGTTGCTGTAGCTGGAGGACACAACTTCAGCTGAAGTTGGCAGAGCATAGCAGGCATCAGCTCACGGAATCATTTCCATTGATAGCTCAGGTTTGTTTTAAACTTCAGTTAAAATTTCTAATTATTATTTTAAACGATCCAAAAACATTACAGTACATAGAACATTAGAATAATGAGCAAAGAAATGGAGCATTAGGATGCAAATACACTGTAAGTGAAGCGCAAGATTCTTTGCTGCAGAAATGACCACACTTTCAGTAAGATTGACAAAGGCAAGATTCCTCCAAGGGGAGGAATTTGGATTTAAATTTGTTAGGAAGACAAATGCATAGAGGACTGCATGCCCCAGTCCATGCAGTCAGGGAGGGAGAAATCTCTAAATTTCATGAAATAGATGACAGAATGTTTAAAACTAGAAGTTGGGAAGACTGATTCAAGTACCATGAAGGACTATTAGTCAGGTCCTGTCAAAAAATTCAAGGAAAGCTGTTAAATTTTCTGTGATATGCAATGTAATTAAGTAAAACATGTAACTCTTAGTTTATGTTCACCATTATGTAAGAATCCAGGGATTTTAGGTCTTAATTTTCTTGTGCTGATGTTGCTTCTTTTCCTGTAGTAATTATCTCCTGTACTCTCTAGCTTGAAGATCGTTTCCATTGCACATGCCAATAAAAGAAAAGGACTTGGTAAAATTTGCAGTGTGAATGAGGGAAAGAGACACACCTTTTCCAATAAATGTGCTACCTTTTTCTTTTTTTGGGGGGTTAGCTTTTCAAGTTTAAGTACTTGTAATAAAGTACAAATCTTAAGAATGTACTTTTACAAAGTGAACACACAATCTTAATCATCCATACCACCTAAGCCTCCCAGTGTCCCATTCTGGACGTTACTTTCTTGCTGCCAAAGGTAACCCCTATACTGACCTCTATTACTATAGATTAAGTTTGCCTGTTTCTGAACTTTATAAATATGGATCATACAATATGTACTTTTTTGTTTCTGGCTTGTGTGGCTCAACATTGTCTCTGTGAGTTACCCATGTTGTGTGTAGCAGGACTTTTATTCTCTTTCGTGCTGCAACCGTATTCCATTGTGTGACTTTGTCACCATTTACCCATTCTATAATTCTGTTGATTTCAGTGTGGGGCTATAATGAATAATGCCACCATAACAGAACATGTCTTTTGGAGCAGTTATGTGCATATTTCATTCGGTGGAAAGGCTGGGTCACAGAGTATGCATATGTCCAGCTTTAGTGTATACTGATAAACAGTTTTCCAAAGTGGTTTTCCCAATTTACATTCCTGTGAGCAGACTATGAGGGTTTCATTTGCTTCTATCCTAACCAACACTTGATATTGACAGATTAAAAAAATTTTTTAGCCATTCTTTGAGTGCCTAGTATACTCCATTTTAATTTTTATTTGCAGATAAATAAATTAATTTTAGTACTACTGCTTGTCATTGATATTTTTAGGAACATGAACCAGTAGTTTTTGTTTTTGAGAGGTAAATCTATGTATCACCCTTTTGAGTCAAAACTATTAGGCACAAAGACACTTTTATAATAGTAGCGCTGTTCATTAGTTTTCAAGTACGTAACTTGCAGATAAATATGGGTTGAAATTTTTATTTTCTATCCTCTAGCCAGCCCACAAATACTTGGAAACTTAAAACAGGAAGAGGCCTGTCAGAATGCTCTTGGGGGAAATGGGCTGGAGGGGGAGCTCTTTAGAAAGTTACTGAAGGCTGAATAAAAATATTTACTGTTTGGACTGTGTACATAAGGTTTTTGTATTTTTTGAGACTTAGTGAAATACTTCTTGAAATAGTAAGTTCCTACTGCATTTAAATATATGCTTTTGTTTATAATAAAAGGCCAAACATGTTCTTTGTTATATATTCCTATTGCATGAAGTAAAGTATCCCTGTAAATTTGTCCATCTGTTTTGTATTATACATAAATTCACACTAATGAGAGTTCATTATATATAAAGTGAGGTTGTATTAGTAAAAAGTCTATATTACAGATGTTCTGAAAAAGAAATATAATTTTATTATTTTCACATAAAGAATACTTAGACTGACTGAAATACTCAGAGAATGATGTATTCTAGTTAATTCATTTTCCAGGAAATACTTGGTTAACCAGAAAGTATGTACACATACCCAGACATACATATATATCTGTAGCACTAAAGACATTAAAATAAATAAACTTGACAAAAACCAATCATCTTGTGGTTTGTGACACTTTGTCTTGTGATTTCAGCACTGAAATCATCCTGATTAATCTTATGTCTTTACTTATTTGGATTATGATTAATCAAGACTTTTTTTTTTAACCTACAA